TTTTCTTTCTTTCATCTCCAGAACACACACAATAATTTTGTTGAGGGTGAGAACAGATAATAAGGGTTATGTGGACTGGTTGCTGGACTGGAATTATTTAACTGAAGATACAGCATGTATTACTTTTCCCAACTACCATATGGATTTAAACACCGTCTTTCCAGGACTGTCCTGTGTACTGTACATTGGCAAACTCTGTCCACATTAGCTAATCTTAGCTCATACCATCATAGTCTTGTGCATAATGGCTATCAAAACATCGTATCTAATTTCTTTTTAATGATCCACTGTGAGACCTTAAGACTCCACCCTGTATGTACTTTGATATACAGTAGGAGGAACAAGTTTAATATGTTTACCTTGCTGAAACTCCCAAGCTGGGGGGAATTACTAAAAAGGACAAATTTCTTAAGATGTCTGAAAGCAACTTCAGCCTGGGCAGACACACATAATGCATGCAGGACTGTGTTTTCTGTTACTAGATGGTATCTAATGTTTCATTAAACCTGGCTCCCTGAGCCAAAGGAAAAAGTGGTCAAGTAGATGAGGCATGTGTGCCTTTATAAAAAAACAAGTAACAGAAAAGGGATTCCCTTGGTGTTTAAAGAAGAATGGGATGCACAGGACAGCAGAACTAAACCAACCACTGTTATCAGGACAGATACCCTAACACAAGAAGGCAAATTTATTGTTGCCCTGACCTTTTATTTGCAGAAGTGTCTACTTATGAAATGACTACTGTTGTTTTAACTAGGGGCCTGCAGGAGAGAAAAGAAGACAAAAATCATTTTAAAAACAAAAACACTAGAATTTATCCAGTACCTCAAAAAACTGTATACCTAGAAGTCTGAATAGAAGGCAATGGGCTTCAGGTTTTGATTTTCAGTCAACCCTCAAATTGCTGCTTGTTGTTTTTCACTGCAGAACTTAAAAGGGAATTACACTATTAATATTGACAAACAAAAAGTGTTAATGTCTCCCAGCTCCTGCTTTAAAAACAAGAAGGGTCACCTTTCCAACTTATTCCTACAAAGGCAAAGTTCCTAGAGATTTCACCGGGAAAAAGCTGCTGTAGCCTTAATTTAGAACTTTACGAAGAGAAAAAAATACAGAAACAGCACTCACCCAGGAATCTGAAATGTCAACATGCAACATTTCCCAACACAGCAAATCCACATTTCTCAAACAAGGGTACACATATCCTTAAGGGAACGCAGCCAACTTCTCAAGAGCACATGGGAGGAAGGGATGGGAAAGCAGAAGTAGGGAA